AATGAATTAGAATCTAAAGCTCGTCTTCAGCGACATATACAATATAACGTGTCATTCTACCATGGTGAAATCTCGAATTTATGAGGCCATGCTAAAGATCATGCTTTTGTCACTTCGTTTCTTTGAGGCTCATGTTTCGAAGATGAAATTAGGGCAGAGATCCGCGAGGGTAAAAAAAACTGACTTGATACTCCTTCTATAGACCGCACGGGTCAGCTACACATCCATCTAACTTTGCGAATGGACTTCAAGGGATGGCGTATGCCTAAGGGAATGATAAATGGCGAACACTTCACCCTTTCTCTTCTATTGCCGTACTGTTTGGTTAAGTGGCAACTACTGCAGTTTAACACTTGGGGTCCGAAGCTGCTTTTTTCTCAAACTATTGATAATTTTTCGAGATTTGGAACACCTGAGAAGTTGAAAACGTGATTGTTTCGTGGAACAGATTTGGCGCCCTCTATTTCGGAGTAACCATGGTTCTTCAATTTTCCTAATAAATTTTTAAAGTCGTTTAGAAAATAAAACTTTCGGAAGAGGCGAGAACGTGGTTTAAATTTTTTGATTGCCAGAAGAAATCCCGGCATCCACAAACATAACGCATTTAGGGACATCGTCGAGCTCTAATGTATAGAATGCCTTTTGTTAAATTGCTTTCATATTCGAAATAGGAACCTCGGAGAAAAAAGTGACAAAAGTACGATATCTGCGCTCAAAATAAATTACTTGGTACCACCGTAGAAAATGAATCAACGCTGAAGGCTCTATCATTTTTTATTTTATTTTAATCAGAAAGGTTTGCTTTATCCTTAGATAAGTTGGGTTAAAGCAAACAGTGGTCGTCACTTTCGCTGGGCGAGTGAAAATGAACTAACACGTACTCTAGGTGTCACTACTGAATGCTACAGGCCGGATTGCAAGAAAATTACCAACAAACAATTGGCCAATCAACAACAATTACTTATAAAGGTGCATTGACATGTAGGTTATTTCATTCCAGCGATGGTCTTCTGTGGAGAATTGGGTACTATGCGGCGAAGAAGGTCCTCCTCGTAAGGGGAGGACGACTGCGGACAATCGACTGTGATCAGCGGGGCTCTGAAGAAGGCCAAAATGCCTAGAAGTTAGTCGGAGCACTTTTTATGAAAACCTTGTGTTAGTTTATGGATGCGTCTTCCTAACGTATGTCAGTGCAGAGCATATATATATATATATATATATATATATATATATATTTAATGCTAACCTTTTATTTGCTGCCTGCTCTAATTTTCACGGCAGAGTGTGATATAAGATACAACCATAACCACGCTGAGATATTCGCAAAACCTGGATCCCTGGCCAGATCGAACTATTATTACTCTTTCCGTACCTCCAACGTTAATGCTGCACCACTGAGATCGTTAGGGTTCAATGCGGTCTTGTGCTTTCCAGATCAATGCCCCTGACGGGTGGGGTGACTGCTGAAGCCATGCTAGGTAAAAAACTAGCTAACAGAAAGGCAAAACAAGGGTCTCCGTAGTGGAGTGTGTAACGCACGATTCTCCGGAAATGATAATTGTGCTTCGATCTGTCCTGGGGTCCAAGTTTTAGGGATATTTCAGCAACATTGTGGCTATATAAATATAGTACGTCGACATATAATATTGAAAAGACAAAAATCCTCCATCGCTTTCGTTTCACGCTCAGCCGTCCTCGTGTTCCTTTCAAACAAGGCGGGACGCAACAATCTCCATGTTTTCATCTATTCAAGAATAGCATCTACAGTTTCAATGAATGTAGTATTACGAATTCTTTTGCAGAAATGGTTGCCACTGTTTCTCTGTTTTCAATACTTTGTGGCACACATTTTGTAGTTCTGGAGTTTTGAGATAAACCCAATATGAAGTCCTTTTCATGAAAGGCGAAAAGATTTCAAAAGACATCGACATTATTCATTGTTGTCGATCTTGTCTGCGATTGTAAACTGTAGAATATGGGACACTTTGGCGTTGATAAAGCCGTGATGTACACGCAATGCATTCGACTTCCTCATGCATTATGGGGACAGACGAATAGATATTTGCCATCTATATCAAATTCCCAACCTCGAAGAGATAGAAGGCTTGGTGAAACTGTGATAAGCAGTCGAACCAGATGCGATTTAATGTTAATTGCAGGCACCTCCAACCATCGCGCTACACGTTCTTGTAGTGCCATGTCGCCCTCTTCACGGAGTTATCGCTACACTGTAATAGAATACAGTGCGAAATGGTACAAGGTGAACTTTCAAAAATTGGCTTTGTAGAAGATACAGTCTTTTCAATATCATCTTCTCTAGCGTAATTGTTTCATCCGGATTCAGTGAGCTGTTATGGGTTAAGCCAGCTGTATACCACGAAGCAATCTTCATGGTCGTTTCTATGCGCAAGATCTTTCTTAGAAGGTCCAACTTCCCACATAGTCATACGTTTATTGCTTTCATAAAAGACCGCAAATTATTGTCGTCAAGTGAAAAAAATATGTTCCCGACCTCCCTAATCTTCCACAATTATTATTGAGGGTCTGCAACCAAAGAGGACGTCTGGTTAAGCAGCATTTGCTACGTGTCTTTAGGAATTCAAATTAACATATAAACCTGTATGAAAGACTGATTGTTCAGAAGGTTTCCTTACGTCCATACGTCATACGTCCAACTTCGTCTTCTAAGTGAAGTGCCTTTTTTCATACAATAACTAGGCCGATTAGAAAAGTGTACTGTTTGAAACAAGATTAATGCAAACGAGAATAGAAGGGAGTACAGCCTAAATTACCAATAGTAAGCGGAAGTAATTAGTTTAGCACACTGTATCAGAACAACTTTTAAGTACCCCAGAATGGACACCATGTGAAAAAGGCTCTGCATAGCTGTCCCTGTCATCTCTAACGATGTTATCTGGAGCTAATTGCTGCAGTAATGGATGGTGAAGAAGCGACGATTTGTTGGAAACCTTCCAATTTAGCGCCAGCACACCGTTCTGACCTTGTCGCAACGATAATTATCCTCTCACTAAGTTATAGTTCATGATCTGTTTGAAAGACTTTCCTGCCCTTTCTACACCATCCAACTAGGTGATCCAACAATCTTCCTTCCGATAAAATCTTTTAGATAACACCAAACTAGTATACCAATTACCAGCAAACACATTTCTACCTTCATACAGTAAGCCGTCCGTGAAGTTCACCACGACTTAGTTCAGTGAGGGTGATATTGTTGGAGGTTCTCTTGACGGCGCGCACCTTCATTTCGTATGTGTATCCGCCATTGGCACAAAACTTTAACTCAACGCTTGTCGTTCATTAGCGGTACGCATTGAACCCCAGTCTGCCTATTTCTTTCTCTCAACGTCACTCCATCTCTTCCTCTCCTCCCCTGCCTCTCCTTTCTTTCCCTCACTCCCTTTATCTCTTTCTTTCTTTTCCTCTCTAGACGGTACGATTGCATCATCATGGCACACGTTTCTACAATAGCTTGTACACTAGCGTGCAACAACTTGAACAAAGGCCATAATCATACACTCTTATACGTCTCGTTCTGTCCATTATGGTTTACATTCTCGACGAAATTCTAGGAAAGTAACAGCTCGAAGTTCAGCGGGTAAATTCCCGGGAAGTTTTACATCAACAGGGATTTTGTAGACCGAAGCAGGGACTGTCGACCAGCAAAGAACGGTATGGAACTTTTTCTTTATCAATTCCATATTATGGCGGAATGTGGTGGAAGTCCCATCTTCATTCATCCACCCGGTGAGCGGAGCATTATAGTCGCACAGTTCCCAAAGACACCTTTTTATCCTTCATAGATCGTTTTCGAGGTGCTTCAGGTAACTATTTTTGAATATGCCAACGTATTTTTTCTACAAAGGTCTGTCAAAGCTGGCATTTATTATGAACCGCATTAGGTGGCAAGCAGTTGGGTTGAGCTTCAATTTCCTTCCCTTTTCCAGTAACTCCTTAGTGGTAATAGAGATGCGGTTTGGACTTCATGTTTGAGGAACAGTTGTAAGTTCGGCACAAGTTTTAAGTTTCTCCACAGGGGTCTTGCAGCTCTCTCTCGGGTCTTTATTTATCTTCATACGAGGAAATTTTATTGAGAATATCCTCGTAATAGACGATTTGTTTCGTTTTCCCTAGGCGATGACAAGAGTCCCTTTCCAGTTTACGGGTGAATAAAATCTTCGCATGGAAAACAGGTAATCGGATCCAGTACAGAACCTAGGCACCACAGAAATATTTCCATGAACGGAAAATGCTGCCTCGACGACACTTCCGTGGAAGGTGGTTTCAGTGGTACTAGCCTTAAGACTTCATATAATTTCTTGCAATGCAATCATGGTCAGTCAAGCACAACTGTGAAACATACAATAACTACATTTCCGTCCTGTCGTGCACCTCATATTATGGAACTTATTGACGGTGATGGTTGGCCTGGCGCTGTAACACTTAGTCACACGAAGAACCTGAGATCTACTTCTTAGGTGGCCATTCATTCCAACTTTAACCACCGTTCGCAAGCTAGGTAAATTCCACAGAAGGAGTAAATATACGGAGAAAAACTTTGACTTGTCCGTAAATTATAAGGCGTTATATATACATTAAGGAGGCGAGGCGCAGTGGTTGGAGGCGGCGCTGCGACACACACGTGGATGCGATCCTCGAGCCCATAAACCACCAAGCTTTACTTCCCTCCGGGGTCGGCAAATTACTACCAGACTGGTCTGCGAGAACAGCAGCACTGGCTCGATACATCGGTAGGCCACCGTGAGTCATTGTAAAGGACAGATATGCATTCAATCACCTCCAAGCGATGCTTAATTAAGTAGAATGCATATCGCATCCCTCAAGGGCTGATCAACGGCAAGAGCTTTGTCCTTTTATATATACATAATCGCGCTGATAAAAACGACCATAGATCTTTCCTATAACTCGTACTCCTTTCCTTAAAACTCCTACAGGTATACTTCCCTATCGTATTGCCGATCTTAGCTTCCTTCTCCAATCTTCCTCTCACCCACGCACGCGTCAGTTGCACATCTCCTATCATCCACCGCGTCATCGAAGCACAGAGCACTCGCATCGTGGTCTATGCCGTCATTGGAGAGCCTTAAATAGGGCAATCTTGCTGAAGTACAAAGCGGATTACGTCAAAGTTTCCATCTGGCTAGCAATCTGCTGATCATGCATGGTTTTCTTCCCTTAGTGTTCGCTCGCCCTTCTACAGTTTTCTCAAGCCGTCACCAGATGTATTGCTATTTTGACTCTAGACTGGCTAAGGTGGCTCCTGGCATTTCTTTTAAATTCATAGTGGAGACGTCGAATTGCTTATCAAGCCGAAAGACCCTGTTTTGGAACGAACTCTGTATAGTAAAGTTTCTCATCTGTGCGTTATTTTTCGCCACGCGAGTCTTTTTGATTGTTACCGTAATACCAGGTCTCAAAATTAGGCCTTAACGTAAAGAGTATAAGCAATGAAGTGACCGATAGGTTGACGTAGTATAGAGACCAATAGGATACATTAGAAATGGTAAAACAACTTATACAGTTGTCTTAAGATGATATGATACCAAAATAATCACATTGTAAGCAAAGCATTAAGCATTTGACTCAATAAAGCATCATAATGACGAGTTAATGCACATATGACCCATACACTGATTGTGGCCTCTGTCGCTAAATCATAGCTGTTATTATCTCCGAGAAATCCAGCACTAGTTTGCGCACCCTGGGAAAAGGAGGGATCGGCGAGGACGTTGAATCGAGCCAGTGACCGATCCTTAAGTGCTGCAGTGCACCTCTAACCACTGCGCTGTACGTGCTGATCAACGCTCTCGCAACGTTGCTTAAATTCGCTTTTCTGCCACAGAGGATGACGCTTAATTTTCAGTTTTCACGGACTTGCTGGTTCTTGATAATAAACAATTTCTCATCAACTAAAGGGGGTGATTGGTCGCCGAGACGACATAATTCTTGAAGAATTCTTTTCTATCGTTTTTTGGATGTGAATGATACGCATGATGCAGTTTAATGTGGTCGGTCATACAAAAATATTTCTGTCAGGAAATCCACTGAGCGACTTGATTTTAAACTCAGCATTCACCACTGTTTTTCTTGATGAGCAAAAATAAGATCGTCACTAATGCATTTATCCATGCACAATAGCTGTCCTTTCGGCGCTTTCGCCTTCCTCAGAACCTGGAAAGGTGAAATTGACAATGCAGTCCATTCAGCCGAACGTTTGCATAACCTTGGCAGACAAAAAGTAAGACATAGATTATAGACAGAAGACATGGAATACGACAACATTAACTGCAAAATACTTCCAAATACCGACAGCAATACAAAGTACAAAGCGGACCAAACTAACAGATTAAATAGTAACATACGTTTAATCCGTGATCAAGTGTCGGAGAAAATCTCTTTCGCAATCCTATCATGTTCAGAACTCTGAAGTTCTCTTCTTATTGGGAGTTCTTCTATTGTCAAAAAAAAACCCCAGAAAAACCGCAATCGACAGAGGATTGCTGTTATTCGATTGTGGCAGCTATGAAAAACAGCGCCAGGGCGGAATGGTTCAATATTAATACACGGCTTTGTTTCGAGTCGTGTCGTTTTTGAGCATGACTTCAAGCCTACTTATGAGGTAAATAAAATAAAATAAAACACATAGAATTTTACGATAACAATATTTTGACGGTTGTAGACACGTTTGACATACAAAAAGAACTCGAAACCTTTTGGTTTGATTCATACACGAGTGCGACAAAGAATGAAATCTACAAGTTTGATAACGGCGGCTGTACCCCACTGGAGATATACGACTTTGTTCTTTTTAAAGTACAAAATACTCGCAAACCTTGTGAGAAAAGCAATTCCAGGTTAATAGTAAGCAAGATAACTATGTTCAATAACCTCCAGGTAATGGACATAAACCATCCACGTTCCATGAACCGATTCACATGCAACAAACACGAAGGTTCCGCAGTCCTGTTTTCACGAAAGACCAATAACTTGCTAATTTTGATTTTTGTATTACCGTGATTATGTCCAACTATATCTTTCAGTCGCGATTTCAATCACATCGATACTCTCACAATTCCACTCTTCACATTTTGTAGACGGAATTTAACGACAAATGCCTGTCTCAAAGAACGTTGGAGCACTGGTCACTATCCCTACAATAAGGTCGAATGGTTACTTGTCAGTAGAGGTCCTGGACGTTCTGATGTGCATTCCGGTTAGGACCACTCGCTAAAAAAAAATCGTTGGTAAACGACTAAGGTGTAATAGAACATTCCTCCACAATCAGAGGTTTCATGGATGTTTTAAAGCAATAATCCGTTAAATGAAATGAGCATTCATAAACAGCACGAAATTCGTGTAATATTACACATCTAACAATTTCAACTTGGCCAGAAGGAACCCCTCTAGACTGGAGACGGTTTAGACTCCTATCCTATGCAAGGGAACCACAGTGGCTTAACTAGCAAATGTCCGAAAAATGGTGATTTTGCTGGTGCCCGCACAACTAATGGTTACGGGCCGTTCAAGTATCAAGTAAGTAAGGTGTCACTTCCATCCTTCACTATCTCTAGGCGGCTCTTTATATGGAAGTTGATAATACAAAGTTTGTTCGGAATACCATGTCCCAGGACAGTTGTGTTTCGCGCACAGTCCACCGAGTTACATCTGGGATTAGTCACCGACTCAAATGGGTGAAGAAGTCTGGCTGTAATATTTATTTATTCTTCATGGCACACTCTTAGTTTTTAGAGTGGATTTTTTCATCAACTTCGAAATTTAGCCAAACAAAATTTTCCGCGGAAAATCACTGTTTCATATAAATAAGAGTTAATCATGCAACGACGAATACAAGTGTCCAAGTATCGAAAGAGGTTAAGTCTGCGGTTTTTCGTCGCTATTATAAACGCTTCCTCATCCAGATGATCCCTCAACATCAACGATGAGTCAATCATGTTATGAAAAGGAGCGCATTCGCCAAATTAATATTTGGAATCCATTTTTGTTCTGTTCGATTGTTTATGTAAGATAAACATCTTCTTACAGGCTAGCCTTTATGGGCGACTAAATGGCTCGAGTTTTTTCCTGTAGTTATGAAAAGTGGTGACGATCTTATGCTAGAGCTTCTTGTTTGTCAAATATTAGAGTTACTAAAGGTATCATTTTACCGCATTCCCATCTTGCCCAAACCATAGCAGTACTTCCCAGAAAGTCTGGGAGGTAGAAGAGGTTTCATTATCCTTGCAGCCTTATAAAAATGTAGTTACTTGCTCAGGAAAAAATCAGAGGAGCTGAGACAAAGCCACTTCTCGTCGCCGTTTATTCCTCTACTTGCCACCTTGGGACGCCCAGCGTGACCTCATGAATATCTGGCTCGATAATTCCCAAATAAGCAAGATAACAAAAGCAAAGGAAACCACTTTGTTACAATATATGTCTCAATTACAATACAGTGTGAACTACTTTCAATACACTTTCCTAGCAGATGGTCTTCATAGCGTCTATGAAGCATCGTCAATAAGGGCATTTTGAACTCTTTCAACACATAAGCAAAAGATCTCATCAACAAGGTAGGAATCACATTTACGCAAAAATCATGTTGTTTAACAGAAATGAAAGTCAATGAAGATGGTAACAACAAATGTATACAAAACAAACAACCAATTCAGAAAAATCGAAACCCACTACTCCCACAAAGTTGTCCTTTCTTCATTCACACAATTTTCCACTTACATCATTCAAAGTCTTTAGAACCATCTTTTTCTCTACTAGAATAAAAGGTGATAATGGATGATATACAACTGACATGACTAGCAACGTTCACCTCCAGCTACTGTATGTTTCAACATCCCACGTAACTCATTTCTTCGGTACATTAACCGAAACTTTTCGCAAGCCCTGATAATTCGATCCACAACATCAAAAGTAGGAAGTTATCACTTCCGTAGAATAGGACCAACTAACTGGCAAAAAGGGGGCGAAATACGACCTCAGTCCCACCAATAATAATGATAAACGTTAAAACGTTCTTTACAGACTTCTAGCAGTTATATCAAAACGAATCAATGCCAGATCTCTCTCTACTATTACCTAGATTGGAAGCTTAAGAACCAAGAAACTTAAGAAGCTCAAGAAACTAGATCTTCACTCACCACTTGTCCACTTCTACAAACAGAAACCCTATAATCGCCATGAAAATCTCCAACCTTCTCTGCGATGATTGGAAACAGCTTAGAAAGAGTAATTAATAAGCTCTCAGATGAATCATACAATGAAGTAGAATACGAATAAAAAGAAGAGCAAACACTCCCTATACAATGCGAAAGCACAGTCAAAATTGAAGAGTCCTCGCAACCACTAGTTGCCTAACAACTACTCAAGTAGAAAAACGTCTTATTAACAAGTCAATTTGGTACTGAAGATGTTTAAACCATCTCGGAAATGTAACAGAATATTTGATGTTGGCGAATTCCAGTAGAAGTTGTGGCTTTTTATCAACACTTATAGCAAATCCGCCTGATATCGGCTTTCCTCGTTCACGAAGCTCTGTGTACCTTAAATTCTAACCAATCATTTCGGTGTAAAATGCTAGGATACGAAGGATATAGTTTTCATCTTTCAAATATGGTTCCCATATCTGTGTTTATAACATATGCCATTTTTAAAAACAAAATTTGCTTTATACTTTTAAATTAATACAGAGGTGAGCATGGTCGGTGGAACCCTCTTACTCTGTTCCATGACCAACTCTACCAAGAAAGCCGTTTCTTTCAGGAGATTTGCTCGTTAAGTCTTATCCGCTATGTCGTTCTTCTATGCTGAACTGCACGACGTTCATGAATAACCATAGATTACGGAGGTGAAGCAATGGAGCCCATGAACATGTCTACGTGACACGTTGAGTGACAGTAACTAACCTGCTGCTGAGAGTGGTTAATTCGCAACTACAAGTCGACGATCACTTCAACAATTTCTGGCGTTGACTTTGTTGTGTTTATAAAGAAATAGTGTGTAAAATTAGCTAGAAATAAAATAGGAAACGGGTGGCTGTACGCAGTGAAAATTGACGGAGAGTAATCTTGGAGCGCATCGGCTAATTTTAATTCATGGTGCATCATAGTTGTTATGTTATTGTTACCTTGCTGTTACGGTGTTGTGTGTAGTAGCTATGCTGATCTTATATAAGGGTAGTTTCGTTTTGTAGATGTTTCCGGTTTAGTCGAATAATTACCGCGCAGTAGCATGACTTCTCCTGCTTAGAGAAATTGGTTCAACGAAGACTAAATAGAAAACAAAGATAACGACAGCTATGAAATCTAGTTTGCGCTTCCTCTGCAGGACAAAAAATGCCGATTTGCGGTTAAAAAACATGACGAAGATAGGTTCCAGCAGGATAAACGAAACATTTTCTATAGTGGATGAAAGAAAAATCTAGGAAGCCAATTCAGGAAATGTTCCGAGACCAAAAAACTCCACTACCGCCACTAAGTAGTTGGATAACACCAATTCTACGAGACGATAAGAATGAACATGTGCCGCTAAGCCTATACTGTCTATGCTGAAATAATGAGGATATGAAGCCTTACTTCAACGAAGATATACTCACCAAAGTTCCTATTGGATACCCCGCTTTCAAGAATCTGCCTACATAAAATCCTCAGCAATGAAGCTATTACTAGAAAGATCTGAGAACCGTGGTTTCTATTAGCCTAGAGTTCTTTGACGAGTATTTAGACGGTTTCATTAAATACATAGTAGTCTTTATCCAGATTAATGACGCCAAGATCGAAAGAGATAGAGGGAAGAGATCAACAGGAAGATGGCGAGGTGGTATGGAAAATATGAAAGAGATTGAACTCAAAGATAGAAGTTGATAATATTTCTTAGTTTCTGGAAACAAATATGTGTAAAACAGAAAAAACGCTAAGCCACAAAGAAAACAGCAGAACATTATTATGTTGGAAAAGGTACCTTTCAACGTTCGGGCTTCGCCTACTTGACTTATCTGCAGACGTTTCACGCAAAGAATAACTTGTAAGTTCCCCAACGAAAGGACATAGTAAACCAAAAGATTCCGTCTAAAGGAATTCGGTTAACTTAAGAAAGTCGAACAATAACAGAAGAAAAATCCCACCACTTTTTCATCGCAACAACGCAACGCATAGAAAGGCTCTTGGCCGAAAGGAAAGTGAGTAATAAACATGGGTGAATTTCAGCAGTTAACTTTAAAATGGAAAAGCAAATTAGTATGAAAATAACCACAATGCTTAGGTAATGTATAACTGACCACCAGGAATGCCTCGTTTTGCTTGCTCAGACGACGTGAGGTTATATTTTGATTTTTGTTGACAAGTAGTCGGAATGCACCAGCGTAGCACACTCGTGAAGTGGTGGACTATCATCGATAGAACGCAGAGTGGCCAGTCGATCACCAACCACGAATTTTACGCTCTCGTTAAAGGTTAGAACCTAAGAGAATTCATGCAAAACCCAACTACTTAACTCAAGTTCGAAAAAAGAAGAAATGTAAAACGACAAATTATTGACGAACCTCTAATGAAAATGCGCCTAGAGATTCGAAATCTTTCATTGTGCCAAGATCGTTAGTGAAATATTCAACAGACGACAGTAATAGATCTTCAGAAACGATCAGAAGCTGATCCGAATTCTGAAACAGATCTGAGTATGAAGAAAAAGATTAATGTGGTTAGGCAAAGCTAAAAGCTATTTCAACCTCTAACATCTTAAATTCACTAAGATGATTTCTGCTTTGTTGCTAATAGTGTAAATGTTTGAAAGACCGCTGCATAAAGAAGCCTTCATGAAATCTATGAGATAATTAATAGGAAAACGTGGAAAAGCGGGCAATATCTATAAATGAGTTGTTCACAAGAGAGAAATAAGGTACCATTATTACGTATCACTAGTAGGTTCACTGCACTGGCTAGATGTAGTGCTGACAGTCGTGACATGTTCCGCACAACTTTGGTGTAGTTATGTTTAGTTAAGCTCTTATGATATCCAATACAACGTTCCTGGTTGCTGGTACGGCACTGGCCTTTCTGAGGATATTAAAGTGGATTGCAGCGCGTTGTTCGGTCACATGCGACCTCGAATTGATGAAAAGGATCAAGTCATGCTTGGGAGATATCTCGACAATTTCACCCTCTTTCTAACTTATTATTTACTGCCTACTCTTTTTTCTCAATGAGTTGATTTAAGACACAAAAGAAAAATAAAGCACCATTATTACGTATCACTAGAAGGCAGTAAATAATAAGTTAAAATTGTGATTATAACTACAGCCTCAGCTTAAATGGGTTCGTTGCCGATTTGGGCCACACAGGTCAATCCCGCTGACGGGTGATTGCTGTGGCAAAGATCAATAGAACTAGCTGAGAGACAGGCGAAACGAAGGACCCGCATGGTGTGGTGGTAAACGCGTTACTCCCCGGAAAGAATAATAGCGCGTTCGTTCCCAACCGCACATACCTGCGGTCCGGAGTTTTGCAAATATCTCAGCATCATTGAAGCTAAATGTCGCCTTCTCCCCCTGGTTTGGGTCTATTAGATCGTCTTCTTCTTTTAGACACTTAAGTGACCTCTTTCTATCACCTGGTTGATGGTCGAGACGTGTTATATGTATCTATTCTTCCGCGCTCCAATCAAACGGGTCTTTCCTGGATCAGGTTTTCTGTCATTTAGGTGGTTGCACAACATTTTTCAGTCAACAAATGCCTGCCTTATTCCAAAAAACAGTCCACTCTAATCATCAATACCACAGGATAGTTTAGAAGCATCCATACTAGCATACGCCGCACGTCTACACCTGCAGTAGCATTTCGGACACAATTTAAATGAGTTCATTTCATGCGCTCAGATTTCATTCTGATACCAATCCTAAATAGCTCACCAAGGCGTACCACCCAAAGTAAGCTGTTGTTTCAGTACAGAAAAACTGTCATCCAAAACCTGAGAATCACGCACCAGTACAGTGTGTCACCATTCACTGCCGAAATCACGAGCGTCTTCACCAGGATCACCGATATCTTCAGGTTTTCTTCATCGGAACATACGATAGAGTACACTAGGTGTCACATTTTTTCAGCTTTATCAGTTAGGCTTTGCTCATTCTAGATAGGAATTTTACCAAAGCCGACGTTAAATTAGTTTTCCTTTGACACTATTTAAACCTTAAAAAAAGCTGCACTGTTTGACTATCACAATCGATCCGAATTGACAGCGATTTACTACCATTGCTATTCTATAATCCAAATGTAAAACCCAGAATACTACCTAACTCCTCAAGTAAGTAGTAAACATCATGAGAAGAGATGAGGCTTAAAAACAGTAGTAAACTGAATCGTGACAGGAAACAAAAAATCTCATTAAAGGCAAAAGGAGCCAGATGTTGATAGCGACAAGTATACATAGGTTTCGAGCGTTTTCGTCACAATAAGATCCACTGTGAAGTGAGATATGTTCGTCGAAAGTCCAACGGCATAACTATTTTTGGCGATGTACGAACGTCGTGGACGGAAGGTGCTCCTGGGTATTGCGATGCGATGAGCAGCGGAGGATTCATAGGCTCAGCAGGGTCTCCCAAGCTGACAAAGAGTCCGGCGTCTCCATAAGGAATCCCAGCTAAGAGTGAACCAATACCAGGACTCTCTCTGACCCAAAAGGACGGCTACTAGCTGTGATGGTGACGACCTGGGACAGACTTGGCTAGGCTGTCCTTGGGACTCCAGGGAACCATAACGGCTAAACCAGCAAATATTAGGTGAACCACAATTATGTTGGGGCGATGCTGGATACATACATAAATACATATGCATATATGAATACATATATATGTATATATGCTTGAAACTTGAATGGTCCGTCCTCACTGGTTGTGCGGACCCCAGAACAATCTCTACTTTACGGAGATTTGCTGGTTAAGCCATTACCGTCATTGTCGTTCCCTGGAGTCTCCAGGTCAGTCTGGCCAAAATCTGCCCCATCTCGTCACTACGACAGGCAGCCGCAGACCTTCTAGACCAGAGGGAGATTTGCCACAATGCCACTATGATACCAAGACAGCGGTGGATCATAGTACTGGTTTACTCTTAGCTAGGCTTCCTGATGGAAGCGCCGGACTCCTTAGCTTGGAATACCCTACCAGGGGATGAATCTTCTGCTGTACATCGCATTCCGACACCCAGGAACACCTCCCAGCCACGATGAGGCCGTAAACCGTTGAAAGGTATATATAACTATATCTATATCTATATCTATATCTATATATATATATATATACATATATGCATACATATATATATATACATATATACATGTATATATGCATATATGTATATATCGGTAGCTTTGCTATATACAAACGAATGCGATTCACAATGATGCTGAGATAAATGCAAAAAAAACTGGCAGAGAGTAATGCAAAGCAAAGGCCGCAGTGGTGCACTGCGTAACCCACGAGCGCCGGAAAAGGGTAATCGCGGGTTCGAATTTGGCCTGTGGTACAAGTAAATAAAATGCCAAACATTGTGAGTACGATTTAGTTCAATCGCACAATAATACCGCCAGTGAAAAACGACCTATTGACCCAACCAGGCCTTAAGGATTTAAAATACCCGAAGAATTCGTCAACGAACAAGAAGAACTGATAGGCACAAATTCGCAACAAAGGAATCGAAACAGCAAATTGGGAATATCGAAACCAAAAGTTTTTAAGAAGTGTTCGACAAAACGAAACCCTCCCAACGGTTTACTATCTCACCGTGGCTCGGAGGTGTTCCTGGGTGGCGGACTGCGATGAACGGCGGAGGCCAAAAACTGAGAAGTCCGGCATTTCCATAAGAAAGGCAAATTAAGAGTTAACTAAGAGAATAAGAGATCCCAGGGTGAATTCTGTTTTGATTTAAATGAAGCAAATGGACGAAACATATACTCCACAAAGAACAGCAAGTCTTCCACTTTAATGCATCTTCAAGGCTGTGAAATATGATGTCAGAGTAGGAAAGCACTATGAAAGAAAACAATGCTTATAACTATACAAAATAAAATGATAAAAAGATAAAGCTCTTGGCATTGATCAGTCCCTAAGCTACGCCATGCATTCGACTTCCTTAAGCATCGTTTGGAGGTAACTTAATGCACATCTGCTCTTCACAATGACTTGCGATGGCGTACCGATACATCGAGCCAGTGCTGCTCTCCTCCCAGACAAGTCTGGTACCAATTTGCCGACCCCGTAGGGATCGAAGGCTTGGTGGGCCAGACTGCGCTACCAACCACTAAAATAAAACATAAAAATAAAAAATATGAGAAATAACTAGTTAAGAAAAACGCAAAGCAAGAGCCTGTGTGGAACAATGTGTAACACGCAAGCCCCGGAAAGGGTAGTCGTAGTTCGATCTGGCCTGAGGTCCAGGTTTTGCGAATATCTCAGCATCGTTGTGGTTGTACTTCACATCACACCCTACCGTGAAAAATTGTCTTAGGCAGCAAATTAACCTTAACATAATGCCTATCACTATACAGCGGTAGCATTTATGCCCCTTTGGGGCATCCCATTCCGAAAAGGAGTCCGGCGCTTCCGTTAGGAATACCACCTAAGAATAAACCAATACCAGGATCTATCACCGACCTGGTACCAAACTAGCCCGATGGTGGCTAATCACCCCTGATCCACAAGGGCTGCGACTGCTTGTGATGGTGACGATCTGGAGCAAACTTTGGTCATGCTGAAGTCGGGACTCCAGGGAACCATAACGACTAGACCAGCAAAACTCCGAAAAATGGAGAATATTCTGTGGCCTGCACAACTAGTGAGGAGGGGCAGTTCGAGTATACAACTAAGTTCCATAAAACCGTAAATCCACAAGTAAAACCACAGAGCGAACTGGAAATGCGGCAAACTCACGTTCGGACGAACATCGCTAGATGGTTTGTTAGCTTCTAACAGCTTCCTCGAAGTATCAGAAAACAGAGGACGACTCCTTGAAAAAGAAGACCGAGCGCATTTCAACCCGGTCGACATCCAAAGCATGTCGTTAAAGTCTGCTACTCAACCCGCTTCGCAACCGCAACACTTCGCAACGGTCCATGAAATCTTCGAAAGTAAATAGCAGCGTGGTTAGTAAAAGTATTCGTAGTTTTGTTGGCTCAGCAGTTGTGGTTCTCTGGAGTGCCGGTGTTAGCCAGGCAATAGTCTACCCGAGGTCGTCACCACCAGAAGCACTTGCAGCCCTTGTGGATAAGAGCTAGATTTGCCACCATGCGGCTATTTTAATACTAGGGCGGTGGTGTGTTCCGGTATTGCTTTACCCTTAGCTGCGTTTCTTGGTGGAAACGCCGAGCTCCTTCTCAACATTGGAGATCTTGCCGGGGGGATGAATCGCTCCGTTGTACATCGCAGCCAGACACCTAGCAACACCTCCCAGTCACGATGAGACGGTAAACCATTGGAAAGAGTGAAAATATTCACTTTCCATTTTTAAGTCTTTAGTCTGAAGAAGTAGCAACTGTTTTGCTTCCAGTACGGTTGAAATTTGAACTTCGCGGTTTTTCTGTTGAGGATATTGAGGTATTCAATTGACTAGACTGCAGTCAACTTGACCATTCCAAGCTTTAAGACGAAATTCGTGAAACGTCAGTCCCAGAGGTTGTATTCATACTCTTGAGCCCAGTCTACTGTTCCTTTCGCAGATCTGTCGTAGGCCTTTCTACTTATTTGACCAGCGGGCTTCGTTTTTGCTGTGTGTATTCCTTAATTTTGAAGGTAGAATAGGTTTTGAAGATCTGAACTGTGCATTTTAGTCACATGTTGTGCACCACTTGTTTTCTAGAAAACATCGTTCAATTGCTCTATGGTTGTTGCTCTGAATGTTCAACGTGACTGAGGTGTCAAGCAAGTCGCAGGTACATAGTAGAGGCTTTGGACGACCACTGATTCAGAGAAGTATTCACAACGATGACTCCGAGTTTCAAGTCCATTACATGATCGATAGCTTTAAAAAACCGAATATGCTCCATTCTGCTCTCGTTACTCTCTCTCTAAATACTCCTTTTTTTTATAGAATCAATGATGCTGAGGTATTTGCGAAACACCGGACCGCAGGTGTCTGCGTTGGGAAACGAACGCACAATTATCCTTTCCGGAGACTAACGCGTTCACCACCACACCATGTGGGACATTCGTTTCGCCTGTCTCTCAGCTTGTTCTGTCGATCGCTGCCATCAGCAATCACCCGTAAGTGGGATTGATCTGGGAAGTCCAAATCGGCAATGAGCTTCTTCTTTTTGTTCTCAATGTTCATTTAATATTGCAGGTAGGAGAGCGAGACGGGCTGTATAATTGCAGAACCAGCTTGTTCTCTTTGCTCCCATTCGCACCATACGTTTTCCATGAACTGGGTTTTTTTCTATTTATTTAAATGTCAAGTTGACTACGATATACTCAGCCAAACAGCTCTATAATCAAACAGAGAGAGTACTAAACTAAGATTTCAATCGCACTGGGCACAAAATAGCTTCTTCACACACTCAACGCTTGCTGTAAGTCTCCTACTAAGTATGGCACGTGGAGACCAGCCCCACAGAGTCCACATGGAAGTGCATTGTGCTTCTCACATTAAGGTATCAGTCTTAAATACTGCGCGAGACCACACTTGATTGTGAAGTATTCCTAGCTATGGTTCCTTTTCGGTTTCTTGGAATTTATCCAGAATGCTATGAGAGTTTGCGCTTCGGTGTTTTCGGTGTCTGTGCAAAGATGTTAACTTTTACTCCAAAATCTTCCCCGTTCTATCTTTGTATCCTATGCGTGCCTACTGGAGTATTTGGTTTCATTTTAATTTTACCGAGTAGCTGTTCTTTATGGAGATTTACCACCATGCGACTAGTTTCATACCAGGACGGTGGTGGATCCTGGTACTGGTTTACTCTTAGCTAGGCTTCCTGATGGAAATGGAGGACTCCTTCTCGGCTTAGGAGACCCTACCGGGGGGCGAATGTATTAGTCGTTGAACATCGCAGCACCACACGCAGGAACACCTCCCAGCAAACCACGATGAGCCGGTAAACTGTTGGAAGGGTTGAGCAAATCACAGAACAATAATCTACATGTTAATTTTTTACTTACTGCCTACTTCAATTTTTCACAACAATGTATTATGTGTGACACAACCACGGTGGTGCTGAGACATTTGCAAAACTCTGGACTGCAAGTTTCTGTGGTGGGAAAGGAACGCGCTATTACCCTTTCCGGGGGCTAACGCGTTCACCACCACACCATACTGGTCCTTCGTTTCGTCTGTCTCTCAACTAGTTTTGTTGACCGGTGCCAGCAGCAACGACCCGTCAGCGCGATTGATCCCTCATGGTGTTGTGGTAAACGCGTTACTCCCCGGAAACGGTAATAGCGCGTTCGTTTCCCAAAACAGAAACCTGAGGTCCGGAGTTCTGCGAATATCTCACCACCATTGTAGTTGTATAACAAATGTTCTATATGTCAACAGTGGAGTAATGTCCAGAAGTCGGTTACTGGTGCTTCATCGTTAGACGTAAATGCGGTTGCAAGGCTTGGTACCAGTCGTTGTTATATTGCCAATTCTCTCATTTGAGCGCAATATTTTCCGGATCATCTAAGCATTGAGCAGTTCAGGCATTCTTTGAAGAGCATCATTAGCTGCTATATCGTGAAACTGTACATGTTTATTGCTTCCTCGTCTTCTATAAGGAATTCGAGGATCCTTTGCATATCAGAGTCGTCGATGCCTTTTTTGAATGGACGGTAACGTCGATGGACTCCATCACATACCCCTTGTTGGGACGCGTGTTACCTAGACGAACCAGAAAGACCTGGGTGTTCGTAAAATGAACTAAAATGTGCTTTAACAGCTGGGTAAGTATTTGATTATGACAACACTTTTATCTGTTGGTCTATCTGTACAACTAATGATAGGTCTAACCTTGAATAATGATGGATCGGTTGACACAAGATCATCGCAGGATACTAACTCATGAGTTTCAATAAGTAATTATGGCACGGGATGCTTTGATAAATTAATTTTGAGTTGAGAGATAACTGACGGTTTTAAACTAGCGGTCTTTGCCATTTTTACTCATTCGTGGTGCAATTTTCGGTATCGATTTTTAAATCCCTTCTCATAAGATGGGGGATAAATGGAATAATCTTCAAGATGCTTTTTCGCTATCTCAACTTCTAAATGTTGAGGAAGTACTGCGAACTCTCCACCCTTACCACTTTCACTCTGTTAAGGTTTTCTCATTGTTGTCACTACCCTTTATGAATATCATACTTTGTTTTTTCCGATTATCTGTTACAGAACTTGGCTATTATCACGTTCTTAGTTAGTGTTGGTAGAAACTTCCTTACCACCAACTTGTGACTTGTTCACAGAGAGGATGGAAACGAAGTCGACAATTCCCATGACCGACTTTCTGTTAACCTCGGCATTAATTGATAATTCAATGTTTTTCATCAATAGGCAGACACGAGGTTGTTAATATAGAATTTATTAGAACACAATTGCTGACGTTTCGGCGGTTTCGCCTTCTTCAGAGCCCACTATTCTCTTCCAAAGGGATTCCTCCAAATACTGGACACAATAAGATTCCTTCGACTTGCATTTCTTCAATTGCGCGTACATGGTGTTCTGCTTGTATCGAAGAGAGGCACGTAGTAGTCGCGTTTCGATGTCCAGTACTAGTTGGCTGTCCCTTGGTAGGCCGCACACATCGTGTAGTCGTTTTCGTTTGATGAAGTTCGGCACGACTCGGTGTTTCAGGCAGCGGCGGAGGAAGAGCATCGTTTGTCTAGCTAAGACAATTTTTTGTCTTAGTGACAGGACTTCTTTTACAAGTCGGAAATATTCTGCTGGCACTCCACGTAGTAATTCCCTTTGGAAGAGAATAGTGGGCTCTGA